CTTTGGCTTCTCTTACTTTTTTGTCAAGCCATTCTCTTATCTTTGTGACATAACTGTTTTACCTTTCTTTACATACTCCCACTATAGCTTCCATTCTTGTAATATCATCTGTGGGCTGTAATACTTTGGGTTCATTTCTGTTGTTGGGCTTAGTGTCTAGGGGTGAGGAAGTACTGGCAGCCCATAATGTACAAGAGGTCAGACTAGATCATCTAGTGGTCCCTTCTTGCGCTGAACTCTATGCTTGTGAGACACCTGTGCTCACCCCTTTTTGTTTTTTTAAGGCTTTTCTTTCCCCCAATCAATTTCCATTTCATGGCTGCATACCCAGTTTTCTTTTTTTGATCCAAGTGAAATGGTGGCAGCTTAGAAGGCGAGCCCATTGCTTTACTCTACGATAAAGCATTACCCACTGCTTTTAAATCCATTTGAGACCTGGATTGTCAAATCCCTCCTGGCAGGCCTAACTCTAAGGATGTGGATTTGGAACTCACTTGCCAAAGCGAAGAACTTTTTATTCTCTCTGTCCAGAGGCATCCTTAATATCAGACATTTTTCTCTTATGATGTATTTAAACTACTATCTCATTTCAGTGTCTACATCATAAAATCACCCCAGCTGCCTTCTCAGAGATTGGGCCATTGAAATTCAACTCCCTTCACAGGCCAAGCTGTTTTCTGGCCAGGCGATGTTGGAGGTGCACAGGCAAGGTTGTGTGTTGGAAGCTTACATTCTTGCTGCCCATACAGTACTCAGTGCACACAAATAGAGGAGTTCAGTGCCAGGGCTGTCAAGTCAGCACCTTTCAACAGTGCCAAAATCACTGTATTTTGCTTTTTAAAATACACTTGCTTTTTAAAAATCCCTTCTTCCACAAAATCTGTTGCTTCTTCCAACCAGAATTAGGAGACATAATCAGTGTCTTGTTAATCCTTGAGGCAAGAGGATTGGTGGGTGATGAGGAACTAAGAGGTTTTCTTTCAGTAGCAAAGAAAAAACTGGGACATACCAAGAGACCAAATTCCTGCACTTGTGTAAAACTTTAGTGAGGAGGTTCTGCACAGGGGCAGGGAAGGCCAAAGGGAGACTAGGCAAATTCCTCCCCATGGCGATCTTGCTGCAGTGGCTCTCCAGAGAGGATACTTCATGCTCCCAGTTGTATGATTATTGGGGACCACATGGGGGTTAAGGCCAGAAGAACATTAGTGGGTTCAGTCCCCACTGGCCAGTCCCCAGCCCCAAAATTTCTCTCTTTATTGGTGCAGATAGAGTAGAGTGAAATAGTGCTGTGTGGCATGCAGGTAGTGTAAAGACAGCCATGAGCACAGCTGTAGCAGCAGAGCTGGGTATCTCTTGCTGTGAGGAGTTCTTGTCCTGCATTGTGGAAAAGATAAACTAATTTTGAAGTGGTCTTGCTAAAGCTTGAAGAATCTAAGTCAGAGCAATGTACAGCAATCAGTTCAAGCCTGTTGTTTGAATTCTAGGCTCTTTCATGTTGGTGACTGTGATGGGGTGTACCAGCTCTGCCCTGGATCTGTAAGGGTTAACCATTGTTACCTGACAGAGAGCCCCACCTCTAGCGCCCTGCTGGGCATGCTCCAGCTGGAGGACAGATATAAAGGCCAGTGGAGCAGCGCTCAGTCTGGGTTGATCACTGTAGGGGAAGGAGGTGTTGCTGGACTAAACCACAGAGGCCAGTCAACAGGGAACATCCAGAGAAACCCTAGTCTGGAGGAAAGGGAGGTGGCTGTGGTGAATCTGGTAGGAAGTAGTGCAGGTTGAAGAATAGGGATGTTAAAATGTGGGTATTTAACTAATCAAGTAGTAGACAGAATTTTTATTGACTACTTAATTGGTTGATAGGCAGCTCAGCTCAGTTCCACCTCATGCTGGATCTGGGACCACACCCAGCTGCGGCTCTGCAATTTAAAAGTCAATAGGGGCTGGGTAGCCTGCACCTTGGATCCCACTGTGTTTTCAATTGCTGAGCTGCAGTCAGGTTTTGTCTTGCATCTGGCATGAGCCAGGCTGCCCACCCAGCTGGCAGCATCCCCTGTGCGCAGGGGGTCCCAGGTGGGATGGGGGACTCCCTTCCACACACACAGGGACTGCTATCATTAAGCAGCCCCTGAGTGCAGGAGGTCCCTACTTCCTGCTGGGACCCCCCTCCCCACAAAGACTGCTGCCAGGGCGGAAGGGGGGACAGGTGGCACCACGGAAAAGGTGCTGGGGGGAAACAGATTTTAAGCCAGCTCCCCCTGCCCCACTCTGGCTCCTGCTCTCCTCCCTGCCCCCTGCCACTGTTTCATTGGGAGGAGGGGCTGCTGCTGCAAAGCACAGGCTTATCGGGTAGTCCACTAGTCAACTACTCCTTTACATCACTAGTGGGGAGTTGGATCCCTGAGAAGTTGGTGTGTTTTAGGTGGATTCCCCATTGACCTAGTGGTGGGCTACCCCTCCACTGAGAGGGGCCTGGGCTGGGAGCCAGTGGAAGGGGTGGGCCCAGGTCTCCTTACTCCATCCCCATTAATCCACACAGGGGATGCTACAACTGTGATTAGTGACTTGGGCTGCTAGGTCATGTTGCCCTGTGTAAAGGGTATTGATATTGACTTTAGGACTGTGGCTGCTGGGCCTCCCTGCCCTGAGTGAGGAGTTCTAACTGACTCTGGCCCAGGCAGGCAAGATATGTCTTGTGGGCTATTCCGGCCTGCAAATTCCCCTGCCAGGACTCTCAGGCACACAGCAGCCACTGTTTTAAGTAGAGGGCTGCTCTGTTTGGCTCTCTGCTCTGGAGGGAGAGGGGAGCTTCATGTAATCTCCCTGCTCCTAGCCAATAGGAAACAACCAGCCAATAAGTGATTGGCCTGGGAGACAGGGACAGCACAATCCTCTCCTCCCTCCTGGAGTTGAGAGCCACATGGAGGGAACAGCCTGCAGTTTTAAGTGATCTGGGGCTTTAGGAGGCAGGGAGTCTAGTCTGCTCTAGAAACTGCACCTCCTCTGCAGCCCTTGACCACTTTGCAAAATGTTGGAGTGGGCTTCCCCTCCCCCCCAAAAAATTATTGCCCACCCACCCCTCCTCTGGCCGCTGGGCCTCACTACCCTGAGGGGAAGGAATGTGAATTGAGACTGGCCAGTAGGTCTCTCTAACATGGCCTGCCTCACCTCCACAGCCAGCACTCAGGGAATCAGCTCTTCAGCCCCAGAGTGCCCCTTTCTGGCTCATGTCACACCTGCTGTTAGCTTTTGTTCTCTACCAGCTTTTGTTCTCTACCACTTTGTGTTAGGACTCATGTCCCTCCCAAACTGTGGCATCCTCCCCCCTGGGTACTGCCCTGCTTTAGTGTGCCCACACTCAGAAGTTCCCCCTCAGGAACTCCCAATGCCCTATGCTCACCTTGCCTCCATGACCCACTACCCGTCATCATGAAGCCCCTTACCTCAGGGGCAAACTGCAGTCTGAAATGACCACTCCTCATTGGCAAGGGGGTGTGGACGTGCTGCTTTCTGCTGCCCTGACTGCCTTCCTAGTGCCTCAGGCCTTACTTCACGCCCTGCAGCTTGCCTGGCTAGATTTTCTCCAGCCCTACTCTAAGTCAGGAATCCTCTAGCTTCCCTGGCAGCTAGGTCCCTCCTTCTCCCACCTAGAGCAAGAGTGAGTCTATCTCCACCCCTCTAGAACCCTTATTTATACAGCCACAGCTGTCTCTGCTTGTGCTGTTGGCTCCACCACTCCAGCCCTCTCACAGGGCTGGGTTTTAACCCTCAAAGGACCAGTGAGGAGCAGATGCTCTGTCCCAGCCTTACTGCCCTGAGAGAAGGAGTGCTTACTGACACCAACCATTGGGCCTTGTTACCCTTCAAGAAAGGGGGGGGGGGTGTTATTGAGCCATAGGGACTGAGATGCACATTGGATGGAACAGTCTTTGGGAGGCCTTAGAGGGTTAGTGCCCTACCCCTGAGGAAGACAGGTGTGCCCACCCCATGACAGTGACCAAATACTATGGTGATGGGAGTCACTGTAAAAAAAAAAATCTAGATAGCTAGTTCATCCCTGTCATAGGCTTCTTCCCCCACTCTGGCACGATAAATGCAGAAGTGGGGGCCTGCAAAAGTACCCCAAAACCTTATCTTTCCAGGCTTTGGTATAAAACGTCCCCCAAAATCTTTAAAACCTAGATTTTGGGGATAAAAATCCGCTGCCATCACTCAAGTAATGATAAGAAAAATCAGGGGAGAGATCACTTGAGAAATTTCACCTCTAAAGTAAAAACCAGGACCCAAGAATTAACCAATATCAGGTTAATAAAAAGAAAAGAGAAAGAACTTTTATTATCAACACAATATTCCTGTTGCAAGCATAATGACTAGATGGAAAAGTCACTAATTAATATACTCATGGGGGAAACCCCACCACGACCAAGACTTAATTACAAAGGAGAGAAAAACCCAATTTTAAAAATGCATAGACATCAGATCCCATTTCCCAAAACAAAACCAATAAAACCTAATGGATTTATCTAAACTTTACCCTACTTACAGATAGTGAAGAGTCTTTTCTTGGAGGGAGACATAGGCTATGTCTAGACAACATGGCTCCATCGATGGAGCCATGTAAAATAGTTTATTTGGCATAGGCAAAGAAGTGGGGATTTAAATAATCCCCGCTTCATTAAAATAAAAATAGCCACTGCGCTGTGCCAACAATCAGCTGATACGGCACAGCGGGGCAGTCTAGACGCGCCACGGTTGACAAGGGAAGCCTTTGTCAACCACTCTGGTATGCCTCGTGAAACAAGGCAAACAGAGGCTTCCTTTGTCGACCGTGGCACGTCTAGACTGCCAAACAAGGGAAACTGAGGCTTCCTTTGTCGACCGTGGCGCGTCTAGACTGCCCCGCTGTGCCAGATCAGCTGATCGTCGGCATAGCGTGGCAGCCATTTTTATTTTAATGAAGCGGAGATTATTTAAATCCCCGCTTGTTTGCCTATGCCGAATAAACTATTTTAAATGGCTCCGTCGACGGAGTCATGTAGTCTAGACATAGCCATAGTATCTGTCCCCTTCAGTAGCTGGAAAGAAACTGCCCAGAGACAAAGGAGAGAAAACCTAAAAATTCCTTTGTCCCAGTTTGAGATTCCTACTTACATTCCTATTGGCCGACTCTACCTGGCTTAGGTAAGGGACATAGTTAACCCCTTAATCACCAGGCTGCTGGCTAACCCTCATGATCATGACAATCCCAGTCTCTCAAATGAAGGCCCTAAAAGCAGTAAAAGGTTCTGAACATGTAAAGCAGGCCCCTGTCTTTTAAGCTGCAGAAAGCTGGTAGAGACCTCTGTCAAAGAAAGGGATCTACCAACTGCCCTGAAGCAGTAATAATCTAGCAAGCGCTCAAAGAAACCTGTATTTGAGGTCAGCTATCTCTGGAGCAATCACTCCATCTTCAACCTCTCATGCCTGGGCAAAGTTATCAAGAGTGTGGTAGGAAACAAACTCCAGAATTGTTGCAATTGCTATTGGGGTTCAAACCAAGATATGGTATGGAGATGACTTTGATGTGTGATCTTTCTGTGGCAATTAACAGAGCACAAACATCTATGCTGATACTGTTTATCCACATATAAGACCCAGTAAGGGGTGGAAAGTGCCACAGTATGTTTGTTGTCTCTGCTCATTTGTCTTAGACAAATCATTTTGTGGCAATTTTGTTTTCCCTTACTGAGGTATCTGAGCAGCTCATAACATTCTTGTCAGGTAGGGAAGTACTGTTTACCCCCATTTTGCAGATAGAGGAATGGAAGCACAGAGACTAGATGACTTGCCTAAGGTCATGTTGGAAGTCTGTGGCAAAGCAGAATTGAACTTAAGTCTCCCAAGTACTAAGCTAGTATTTCAATCAATGGCCATCTTTTCTCTCAGACTCAAATCCAAAAGATTCAAAAGGGCAATTGATCCTTTTTAATAAGTTCTTGCATGCTGACATCTGCAAGGTTCAGGCTTTCTTCCTTTTTCAACTTGATGGGAGAGCTCTAGGGGAGGTACTGAGATGCCACAGGTCCATATTACAAATGTGTTGCTGAAGGTTACTATTTGCACAGCTGTTTCTCTGTAGATACAAGCAGTGCTAACCTCAGATGTTGCAATGCCTGAAAGAAACAAGAACATAGGTAAATGGTGGATAACTCGGGCCCAGTCCTCAGAACACAGAGCTGAGGTTGTTAGGAAGAGGGAGATGATATGAAAAGCAGTAAATAATTATTAACCTAATTAATTACAGAGGGCATTTATCCTCAGACTGTCAAGATGATGTGCAGTCTTTGAGTTCTGTTGGTCTCACCACTGCTCCTGAGAACACAGATAATCATTGTGTCAAGAAGTGCCTTCTACCATATCCTTCTAGTCAAAACCACTTCATTCAGAACAGGTGACTGTGAAGAATCACGTTTGTCACCTCCCGATTAGAGTTCTGCAACACAAACTATCTGGGCTGAATGTGATGACTACCTAGAACAGCGGTTCTCAGACGTTTTGGGCTCCGGAGCCCTTTACATGTGTAAAAATTTATGCAGAGCCCCAGCACTCCACTGATTGTATGTATTTACGTGAAGCCCCAGAAGTCCACTGATTGTATGTGTTGTACTCATTGATGTTTCCAGTTTGTCAACCTCACGGAGCCCCTGGAGATGTCAGGAGTCTGCAGAGCACAGTTTAAGAAACACTGATCTAGAAGAAACTCCAGCTAGTACAATTTAACTTAGTCTATCTCCAAAGCAAGAAAGATCAACAAAAAAACATTTCATGTCAGTTGGCTTCCTATTCAACTCCAGCTCCATTTTAGAGATCCATAAGGAACTAGAGTCTAACTGTCTTACAAACATCCTCTCCGTCCATAAAACACTGGGACTTGCATGGATATGTCTGAGTAATCACAGGATTCAGGGTATTCTCAGTGCATGCCCCTGGCTATGGGTATCCTTAGCGCAGAGCAAAAGGAAAAGCCCAAGCCAGACCGACTTTAGAGCCATAGGTGACTGGTGCTTAAAGGGGGAGGGGTTTCAGAGAGGGCCACCCAGAGAGTCAGAGAGGTAAGAGGATACTCCATTTAGAAATTACAATTTTGGTGGGGGCACAGGGATGCAGTACACCTCCTGAGTGCTACCAGGAGTCGCCTATGTTTAGATCTGTCTGCAAACCTTTTCCAGTAACGATGATTGACAATTGATCTGGCACCCCTCCAAATCTCACTTTTAATATCATTGGGCAGAATAAAGGAAGGGTCTAGACAATGGGGTCCTTCACAGACTGAATAATGTCATTTTGGATGGTGTATTTAGTAGCAAGCAGATACATTATTGCTGCTTTAAAAAGGCCTGCCACGGAGAGTTTGATATCCCTGCCCCCGGCCGCACAGTGAGTAAGTGTAAGAGCCAGGATTAGCACGCAGGAGACCCTTGTGCCTACCATTGAGCTCACATCACAAGAACATGCTGACTTGTACATGTTTGGGGATATAAAAATGCTTGTTAATACCTTGTTTTTGCAAGTTGGAGTTATAAAGCTGCATTGGTGACACTACAAGCATTTCTATGGCAACAGAGTGATGTCACCAACAGCATTTTGACTTTATAGCTGATTTCATTTGAATGAAAAACTGAGCTTAGCCCCAGAACGTTTCAGCATTTGAAAAAGAAGCACAGAAAGTCCCTAGAGGGCATGTTGGGGGCGTGGGAGGGCGGGTCATATGATAGTGGGAAGGAAGCTTTCACTGCTACCCATACGTCTGAGCTCTGGGTAAACAAAGTGGAGGTGCCCAGCTGATAACTTTATCCCTGAGATGTGCAGTGATGGGGGCTTCTGTAAGCACCCATGTAGGCTGATAAATTAACTCAAAAATAAATATGTAAAAGCTAATAGGAAATATTTCTCTGGGGAGGCTAGAACCCTGTTAAAATAGCTCAGAGGTACCCACAAAGTAAAAAAAAAAAATCTGGGAAAGTGGGTTTAATAGTAAAAGGAAATTAACAGTACAAGGAAAAAATAATTTTCTTCAATATGGGTTTCGGCTTTTAAGCCACATGTAGATCTTCCAAGACATACTGCCTTCTTTGAGAGATTTTGAACTGAAAAAGAGGCATTAACATTGGGCCATACCCTTTCCTGATATAAATGTACCCTGTTTTAACTCAATTGCATTAAGCTGATTTACACCAGCTGAGGATGTGACCCACCTTATCGTTTTAGTGAGGTCCTTCAACTTTAGCAAAACTCATTCACCAGTATGTTATTTTTCTTTCTCTTCTTACACATCAGCAGATGAAGTCAGTCCTGGGTGTTTTCTTATGTTTCCTTAAATACCAGGAAGACAACAAAAGATATTAAAACCACTGTACACATTGTCTCAATGGGAGTGGAGGGAAATGTACAGAAATACTGCCTTTCTAGGGATACATCAACTCACACACCTTCCTGGAAAAGACAAAAGGGCAAAAGGGGAAGAGGGTGACTGGAGAAAAAACACCAGAAAGCTATGTTGCTGGGTCACCTTCCATGTCATATGAAAATACTTTTTCCAAAGTTTCTAAAGAGCAGCCAGCAGCATATTGAGATTTCCCTCCCCTCTTTTTTTCAACAACAAAGCAACGTTCCGCCCTCTCTCTTTTCTCTTCAGAGAAAAAAAAAGTTTTGAGAATTTCACTTTTCTATTCACAGCAGCCCTGGCCAAAGTAAAGCCCTCTTTTACATTGACGTCAAGATCTTTACCAAGATTAGGGTTTCATTTCTGTATTGCAGCAATTAGCCAGGGAATGTATAAAAGGCTTCAGGGAAGCAAGCTAGGACTCCAGAGGGAAAGCACTTTGCACCACAGACAGAGACAGAGAGAGGAGAGGGAGGCACAGGCACATAGAGGAACAGAAAGTTTGTGTACAGAGACTTAAAAAAAAAAGTAGCGCTGCACCTGGCAGCTCTGATGACACCGAAATCTTAGTGCTTAAACAGCCAAGAGACAATAGGACAGGAGAGGAAACTGAACAATCTCTGATAAATTTTGCAATTGCAGGGAAGTAGAAGCACAACTGCCTGTCTTTTTAACGGACTCAGAAGGGCTCTTGGAGAAGGGAAACGTTTTAGTTAACGTCTTGGTCTCTGAAAAAGAAAAAGCAGCTCCGAGCCGAATGAATTTCATGCTGAGTTATGCTTTTGACCAGCTTGAGTATATTTAATCATTTCTGCTGCCGTTGAGAGAAAGAGGCGGGAGGTGGAGGGAGCTGATGAGTTTTTTAAAAAATGCCTTTTATTTTATTGTATCTTATTTTTAAATGAGTGTTCAGGGCAAAAAAGGGAGCTAAAGGGAGCCGGTTGGAGAGCAGCAGCAGGGAAGATGGGTCTGTTAAGCGTGGATTTGCTGATCACGCTTCAGATCTTGCCGGTTTTTTTCTCCAATTGCCTCTTTCTTGCACTCTACGACTCTGTGATCCTCCTGAAGCACATGGTGCTGCTCCTGAGTCGGTCGAAAGCGGCGCGTGGCGAGTGGCGAAGAATGCTGACCTCGGAGGGGCTGCGCTGCGTCTGGAACAGCTTTCTCCTGGACGCCTACAAGCAGGTGGGAAGGGGATCGAGAGGGGAAGGGGAACAAGGTCTGAGCACCCTGCACTCTGGTTCCCTTTTGTGCTAGAGTTTGGTTTGGCATAAGGGGAGTGGAAAACAGTTGTTCTTCAGGAGGGCAGGGGCCTGAGATTTAACAGACCTTGAGTCTTTGTGTCCTTCTCTGCCACTGACTCTCTGTGTAATTAGGGCAAGTCACTTAATTTTCTCCTGCCTCTGTTTTTCTAGCTGTGCCACGAGGATAATGCTGCTGCTTTTTGTAAAATATGTTGGGCGTATTGGATGAAAATATTATATAAGTGCAAACATTATTAAATATCTTTGTTGCCCATTTGACCAGTGCAACATCTTCAGAAGTGATATAAATATTAGATCTTTAAATAGTATCTCAGGGTGATCCCAATGTCCATTACATCAAAGGAGAAAAATAACTCTGACAAATCATCATTTTTATTCAGCTAATATATTAACTTTTTTGTATTAGGAAGGAAAACACTGTGATTGGGTGAGTAGATTTTGAAAAAGAGCCCCCTTTACTCCTATGGCAGTAGTGAAAACAGAACATGACAAAGCTTAAAAATAAACTTGTAACCAGCTGAGGGACAGCTGCCTGTTCTTGGGGCATGCGCAATGTGACTTGAGTGGCACATGCTCAGGATTCATCACTTGAATTTGGTCCTCTGGTGACTTTAGTTAATAATGTTAATAGCATTTACACAGCACATGCTCTTTCAAAATTCCATACAAACATTAACTAGTGAGGTTGGATAAAACCTGTGCAAGTATCTGAATCCCCACATAGTAAATTAGGAAACAGAGACATTAAGGATTTTGCTCCCAATCATACAGCAAGTAAGGGCTTGTCTATGCAAATGCTTTCTTTGCAGCAAAATGAGGTATGACTCTAACCCAGTGGTTCCCAACCTTTTCCAGATAGGGACCCATTTTCACAATTTAGGAAGACTTGGTGACCCAGGGCAATTAAAAAAAAATATGTGACTGGCTCCTTAAGATCCACCTGGGGACCCTTTTGAAATGTAATGGTGACACCTATTTGGGTCCCAACCCATAGGTTGGGAAACCCTGCTCTAACCTGTGCTAGCCTACTGTGCACCAAGGGTCCACGTGGCCCCTGCTACCGTACACTAAAAGTTCCCTAGTGCTCTCTAATCTGCTCTCACTTCAAAGAGGGATAGATCAGAGTGCCCTGGGGAAGTTTTAATGTGTGGCAGGAGGGTTCAGGCCGACAATTAGCTTGCATCAGGCTTGTGCAGAGTAGATTTACACATTGGCCTGCTGTGAAATAAGTATTCATTTAGACAAGCTCTAAGAAGCAAAGCTGGGATTAGAAACCAAAGGTCTTTCAGCCCTGTGATCAGTTTATTAGAATGTGCTGCTCTATTAAGATTTAAGAAACAGAAACCCATCTGATGGATTTAGGTTAACTCTCTCTTATATCCTCTGTGAATCATAGCTGTGTATCTGCTGAAAAGTATTTCTCTCCTCTCTCTACAATAGCATTATACATTTGCTCTTAACTTGCGCTGTAGGGATCTGCTGACAGTGATGCTTATTTACAGATTTATTTACTGCCTGTCCTGAAGCTTTAGGCACACACAGATAATTTTCAATATATAAAACAAATTACATTAGCTATCCCAACTGTGATCAATCCCTTCACTCAACACAATACAAATCAGTCAACCAACCAAACCTGCTCAAGTAAAATATAATAAGAATTCTAATCACTTCTATCACACTTTAATCTCCAACTGTCTCAGTGCCCCTGTGAAGTAGGCTGGTAAATGTTGTTACTCCTGTTTTGCTGCTCAGAGTGAGACACAAAGATGAACATGTGACTTGATCATGGGTACAGAGGGAACCAGTAGCAGAGCTGTGATTAGCACTCATTCATTCCTAGCTCTTAGGCTTGGGTTATGACCACTGCACCTAACATTGGGAGAAGGCTCAGACTTTGACTAGCTTCCTGAAGGTGAATGGAATTGTTCTATAAGTCTCCAACAAATCTTATAATTTCTATAGCAAGTTATATCGACATTCAAATGATGCATGTTAAAACGAAGCCGTTAAATTACTTCCTTCTTTCCTTATCTGCCAAGACCTGAGTTCATGATTCAGTGTTTCCTCATCTATTAGTGATGGCATCACTGAGTCAACTGAAGAAGTGGGTAGTTATTCACTGGTATTGGCAAAGAAACTCAAACCTTAACTTCAGGTCTTAGAAGGTAATAAAAAGGCTTTTATTTTACTTTAAACACCTAGAACCACGTCAACCATGTCACAACCATATCATGTAGGGTGATATCCTGGCCCCGTTGAAGTCAATGGCAAAATTCATATTGACTTCAATTGGGCAAGTATTTTACCGTGTGTGTGTGTGTGTGTGAGAATTCCTCCACAGCAATGATTCTTAGAGAAAGGTTCACAGTCCCTTCACAAAGCACCTGATTGAGTACTCACAAATATTGTTGGAAAGATTCCTGTTGACTTTAGTGATGAGACCCAAAGAACACTGGAGATTCCTAACTGCTATAGATGCAGAGGTTAGTATGGGAGCCAACTTATAGAGGAGACACAATACATTGAAGGTCAAAATTAAGAGCGGAAGAAGAGTAGATTGTAAATTGCCTGTATGTGAATCCCTGGGAGTCTTCTACCACTTCTACAGGGGAGGGGAAGAAAAAGCTAGTTACATAGGAAAAAACTGGTAGAGACCACAGGAGACTAAAGAAATGTATATTTTTCCAAGTACTGAAATTAATTTTACATGTCAGATCCACTTAAATGCTGTATGCCCAAATCCAGCTGGGTAGCAAGAGTAGATGTCAATCAGATGTAACTGATTAACGTCAATCATGTGCTTAACTGCCTTTCTGAATCAGGGACTTTTTCACTAGTAAAAGTACTTTGCAGTTGCATAATGCACATCAAATGAGAATCTCAGAGCATTTTATGAATACTAACACAAGAAACCTCTGCAAGGTTCATAATCCCCATTTTACAGATGGGGAAACTGAGGCACAGATAGTTGAAGTAGACCAAAGCCACACAAAAAATAGCGGAAGAACTTGGAATGAAGTAATGTAAATATCCTCAAATCTCTCTCTCTCTCTCTCTCTC